CAAATCCAGGAAGTTCAGTGTAAATAGGATTCATACAATGGTAACCACACCTAATTTGCCTATTGTAGTTAAACTGCTGAATACCAAAGATACATGAAGGCTTAAAACAGCTAAGGAAAAAAAAAAAAAGACACATTGTGTTGTACAGGGAAACTTCATCCAAACCAGTAGAGGAATGGAAGCCAGAAGATAATGTAATGACATCTCTAAGGTATGGAAAGAAAAGAATTTTATGACCAAAAAATTTTATCTACAAAAATGTGGGGATAAAAAAGACTTTTTTAAAAAAATAAAAATGAAGGGAATTCACAGCCATTAAGCATAAACTAAATAAAACTTGGAGATTTAATTTTCAGATTAAAGGGAAATTATTTCAGATGAAAATAGACCTATAGGAAGGAGGATGAGAATCAAAAAATGTGAGCGAAAAGGGAATATTTTGTTTTGTCTTACATTCTTTAAAAGTTAATTGACAAAGAAGTAGTAAGCTTCAAAAAAGATATTTGGGGACTAAGGGGTGGTGGAGCTCTTGCTCAGCATATGAGTGGCCCTGGGTTCAAACCCAAGCACACTACACACACACACACACACACACACACACACGTACAAAAGGCCAGTAATCATTGACAATAAAGTAACATAATTAGTCATTAAGCAAATGCAAATTAAAAGTCATTGACGTCTCTTCCTATTCATTAAAATAGCTAAAATTAAAGACAGAATCTTAACTACAGTATTTCATATATTAGACTACAAGGATGCTGAGGTTCAGATTTAAGAGTCAATGATTCCTTATAAGTGCTATTAAAGTCACGATAGAAATGTTCATGCAGTGGTTTTTGAAAGAGAAAAAAACAGAACTGAGGTCAAACTGCAAAGATTATCATTTAAGTGATGTGTAGCAGGAGAGGAATTCAGGAAAATATTTTTTAAAAAAGGCAAACAATTATCAATGTTGGCTAGAAGGTGGAGGAAGTAGAATTTTTATACATGTTTACCAGGGTGCAGATGGCACAGCTACACTGATGCATATTTAAAATTATACTTACATATACTTATCCTATGATATGAAAACACATGTTTACAAACAGAGGTGTACATGAATATTCAAAGCAGTTTACTTCATGCTGTTCAGTAACAGAAATACCACAAATGTTCCAGAATAAGAGAATGGATTAAAAAATGTGATATATAGTCCTACAATATAATATTGACATTGGAGCAAAAGCGTGAGTGAATCACAGAGGCATTAAATTGAGTAGAAGAAACCAGAACCAAAGCAATGCATAGGGTGTGATTTAAATAAAATAGGCAAAGGTAACATATTGTGATAGAAATAAAAGAAGAAATTGCTTACAATAAGAGTAAGGAGATTAGATTGACCAGAAAAGAGCAGGAAGAAATTTATGGGGTGTTAGAATTGTTCTCTTTTGATGGGATGGTTATTATAAGGTATATATATTTATTTAGACTTGTCAAACTGTACAATTCACTTATACACTTAAAGTATTATTAGGTTATGATGAAAGATTGGATATGGATGTGTTAAAAAGTTAAATGGAAGCACCATACAACTTTTAAGAGTTTATTTTAGTGAATAGCAATTAATGAATTAATTGGGTAGCTCCAAACCATAAGTGATTGGGGAGCTTCACCGAGGAATCACAAGGGGGAGGATCTACTTTTCAATGTCTCAGAGTTAAAGCAAAAACATTAGTTACCAACACACAGTTTCCTTATTTGGTCTATCCTGTTGCATACTCACTCTGTGTTTGTTGGTGCTTCTGATTGATTTCTGAATTTCTGTTTTGCTTTAATATAAGCATTAATAAAAAATAGCTCAAGTTGTTTGGCTTATGATTGCAAATCAAGCAAGGTTAAATCACCATGAGGCCTAAATGACTTTGTCTTCTTGGAGATTCTTCACATCTCCTCTCCATTTTAATTCAATAACAGATGTAATACTGGAGGTGAGGTCATGCATGGATTCTGTATTACAGTCTAGAACTAATGCTGTTAAAATACATTTAGATAGGAAGAACCCAGTGGAGAAAGGTGGATAGGGAAAGTTTTGAAGCTCTATTGTGAATTACAAGTGAAGACAATGTATTTTATTTACGTATTTATTTATTTATTTTGTGATTTTTAGATATACATGACAGTAGAGTGTATTTTGACGTATCATACATACATGGAGTATAACTTCCTATTCTTATGGTTGTACGTGATGTGGCATTACACTGGTCATGTATTTATGTATGCACATAGGAAAGTTATGTCTGATTCATTCTACTGTCTTTCCCATTCCCACCCTCCCTCCTTTCCCTTCATTCCCCTTTGAAGTAAAAGCAAAGTTGATTTTTAGAAAAATTATTCTACATAGAATTTTTCTGGTCATAACCTGTTCAAAATATAACTGCTTCTGCTTTGTTTTAATCTGGGCTGGGAGAGAAGTGTGTTGACAGGGTTAAGACAAATGAAAACCATAGTTCGTTGCAGGTATTCTCATGCTGTTTCCATGAGCTTTACCTCTTGTCTTCCTACTTTTAGTAGCCAAAATGATAGAATTTAAAGCTCTTTCATAAAATATTTTGGAAACAAAGAACATTTCATTGACAGTGATTTTAATATTCAGGTATTCAAACCTAATTTTTGCAGATGAATACTTGAACAAAACTCAACATGTTTCTGTAACAGATTGGTATAGAACAAAGATTAGTAGTTTATTTTCAATCTTTGAGTGATTCAACTGGATCAGTTAGAATTTTCCAGGGTGATAATGGCCTGTTAATATTGCCTGGAATAAATAAATGAGTTCAACATATTTCGTTTGATGCTAATTTTTTTCAATAAAATATTTATTCTTGATAAGCTTCTGAGAGTTTATTATTAATTTTATTTATGTCATACTTATTTGTTTCATGCCCTTATATAATTGACATTGCATTTATATACTCTCCATATATTTTAAAAAATGTTCTCCAGAGAGACAGAAGTAATTATATAAATATGAATACATAGAAAACTATTGGTTTATAGAATGGAATTACGCAAGCTAAGATTAACAATCTGCCCTCTGCAAATCCAAGGCCCAGGAAAGCTGGCTGGGAAGTACTAGTCCACACCCAAAGTACATCCTGGTCCCAGATTGAAGACGGAGAACTGGGTATGCCAATGTTTAACAGTATGAGAAGATGCTTGCCCTAGCTCAAGCAGAAAGTGCAAATTTGCTTTCCTCTACCTTTTTCTTCTAGTCAGGCCCTTAGATTATATGATGCCTGCTCATAGTTGTAAGGGTAATCTTTACACTGCCTACTAATTTGAATACTCTTATCTTCCAAACATCCTCACAGAACCATCCAGAAATAATGTTTTACTAGTCATCCAGTTAATCTTTAGCTATTTCAAGTAGTTCTTTCAGAAATAGGGAAAGTTAAGTATTTTTATATCTAATTTATACCTGAGAGATCTAAGATTGTTTAAGAAACTTAAAGGTTCAAGGAAAAATCTGATGAAACCCCAAATCAGTGCTCTCTTCTCTATAGAATGCTGCCTAGGCAGACTAAGCCTATAACTTCCTGGGAATTTATCCTTTTGGAAGAGGACATCTATTTCTCTATGAAGATGTGTTATATTGGGAACATATATTTCACAACGTCTGTCACCAAATAAATTTGGTTTTCATAAGGAAAGCAACAGAAGGAAGCAGACTGAATGTGTTCAGGAAGAAATATAGAGGTGATGACATATGAAAGCTAGGGACATATTTAAGTTCATCAGTCTCAATCACCACACCCATCACAAATCAATTGACAGTATATCTTTATTCTCATGGATAATACAATTTTTCAGAGTCATCCTTTATTAATACAATTTTCCAATTGATTTAATGATATTAGCTTTGTTCTTCGTGTTATTATACTTCAGATTATGCAATGATAGAATATTTGAAAAGAAATCAAGTTTTGTGAATATAGAACTTACTGCATAATTGAATAACATATTTAAATACTACAATACCATTTGTAAGTAGGACAAATTCAGGAGAAGAGTGAAGATATTTTGCACATTTCAAAGCACTGATACTAGCATTGAGGAAGCTAATAGTCTAAATTGACATCCAGGGCACTGCTGCATCTTTTTCTCTGTAAAATAAGGTAGAAGAGCATTTTTGGTATCATTAGAATGGTTTGTGTAAATTTTTCTAGATGTTTGTAAATTGCTTATTAAAGAACTAGAAAGCTTTACTTACACTGGTATTGATTTCACATTAAGCAAAGTCAAGCTGTACTGAAATCTCTTTAGTATTTCTGACTAAATAAACTGACTTGTATTGTGCAAAATAGTACCTTAATGAGAAGGCTTTTTAAAGAGATATGGATAGTACTCACTCCTGATGGTATTTCTATAAACTACTTTTTATCTGAAGAATTCTGAATATTCTTTTTCATGAAAGGAGGGATCAGAAGAGACTCACAGGCAGCAGGAAGGAGATTTCAAAATATTCGTCTTTTGGTTTTCATTTTGGGTCAAATAGTTGGATTTTTCATGTGTATTTTTACTTTTTAGTGTCATTCCAGTGCTGCCCTTCTATCAAACTCCCACTGTAGCTACAACAGCCAACCAAGCTCATTGAGACAGGCAATTAATCAATTATGGTTTGCTAAGGACATCAAAATTGAAATTTCCTGGTTGTTATGAAATTTCTTTATTATTTTGAGATTTTGTTTTACTTTAAGCTAATATGGATATATTGGCATTATTAAAATGCTTAGCTGGCAAAGTGAAATGAAGTGGGAGAACTGATTCAATATAGTCAGGAGTCAATATTGATTTTTAAAAATTGTTAGAAGTCTCATAATTATTATGTTTTTGTAGGTAGAAATAATCACTAGATTGTTTTTTCATAATCATTTTGTTAAGAATTTTTTATTAGTTTTTTTGATGCATGACTTTTGGCCAATACCTACCCAAAATTTCTGAATGCTTAAAACAACATCTTATGGTTCTCTTAGGTTATCAGTCTTGGCCTAGTGAGAAAATAGAATTCCATAAGAAACTCATATTATATTAAAATTAAATTACAGTCTGATTAATTGTTAGTCAGAAGTGATTGATTGACACCTTATTGAGGCTTCAGACCATATACTCTACTATAGTATTGATTATATTGTTTTTGCCATATTTTTAATTTGTGCACTATAGTTGTACATAATGATGGATATGTTGTTGCATATTTGCATGTGAACAAAATATAACAATATAATTTGGCCAATATCACTTCCTGTTTTATTGTTATTTTCATGACTGAGCCTGTAAATGAAGTACTAGCTTTATGTTTTCTATTACACAGAAATTTCTCATGTTAAATGAATCTTTGGATACCCTACCTTCTCTTCTGGAAGCACTGAGGCAATAGTTGGATTTAGAGCAGAAGCAAAAGCCTTGGTGTTGCTGGGTGTTGGTGAGGTGGAAGGCATGAAAGCTCCTGCACTGTCATGTCTAAATTTTATCACTTCTTTCTGTAAATATGGTAGCACTCCTCCTCCTGGCTATAGAAAGAGAATGAAAACAAAATGGTTATAGGTTCAAGTAGGACATCAAAATTGGGAAGAATATAAAGCCACCGGTTGAGATAAAAAGCAATCAATAAGGCCTTTATTGGTTTTCCGTATCATAAATTATTTTTAGCAAGATTGAATATAGTCCACAAATATGGTCTCTTGATGCTGCTTTTAAATAAGGGTTAAACAAAAGTGACTGGAATAGATGATATTTGAGGAACGGACTGAATTGAATCCTGACTAGCAAAAGATTATAGAAGAAGAACCAATAATTGTTGATGGAAATATAATAAAGTTTATATTGAAACAAACATTAGTGACGGAACCTACAAATCATCAGTTGTTGATTTCCAGTTGTTAGCAAAGTGTTGTCAGGAGTCTTACCATCACAACAGTTTCAGGAGCTGTGCCTAAGAGGGTGTCAAGAGCCAATTGCTGTTGTCCTCCTGGTACACCCTGAAAAACCAGAAAGTTTTAAAAAGTCTAAACTGTGGTACTTATACATATTCTGCCAAAGCATTTAAATGCTCCCAACTTCTTTAATTATTTTCTTAAAAGTGTAGCAAGGAGTTTAGATTTGAGAAAGAGAGATGTGTTTATATTAGAGCCCTGGCTGGACACCCAGTTCTGCCTCACTTCTGGAAGCTCTGCTTTCTGACATTCCTGCTAGGCCCTGGTGTTCTCTTGATGAGCATAAACAGTCTCAGGACACCAACACCAGAGAAGGTTGTCTCTGCACTTGATGAAATTAAAAAAACAAGACAACTTCCTGGTCTTGCTTAAAGCAAGGTTACTGTGCAAGTCACAAAAGTACTTGTGTCCTCACAGCCTGGAAAATACTATGACTGTTGCTCATTCACCAATTATAATCTTTGCCTTGGCTATATTATTCTGCCTTCTGGGTAGGAATCCTGAAAGTACTTATCAAAGAACTTCTTGAATATACCCACTTCAGAACAAACTCTGAAGTCTCTCCCAGACATCTAATGTAAATCCAAGTCCTGTGAGTTCATGCTCACAACTTCCTATGAACATACCCCATGGGTCTCCTGTGTGTTCGCCTCATTAGTAATGTGTGGATAAATCCAACTTTGTTCAACTAGAGAAGTGTTGCTGGTGATATTTAGCTGAAAGACAGTTATATATTTAATAAATAATTAAGCAAATGGTTTCAAAGGATTTTTTAAAAAGAAAGATATTCATCTACTCACAGGTTCTTCTTGTTGTGGAATATATTCAAATTGAGTATAGAATGGTATCTGTTGGATTTTTGAAACATGCATTAGTTTTACTAATGATTTTTGTTACAAGTTTGTGATAAATTATTACTTAAGATTACATCTTTTATACTAATTAAATGCTTTTTTAAAAATTCGTGCTTCAGTTGGTAACAATTATTAAATTAATAAGAATCCTTTTAATACTATATTATTTCTAGGATAAAAACTGTCTTTAAAGTAACATGATTGAATTAGAATTAGTATCGCCAGTTATTTAAAGTATAATTTTCAGTTTTCTGCAATTTGTGATGACAAATTTTAAAGTGGTAATTAAACTATTAAAAAAGACATTTCTGTTTTGATTAAAAGAATGCTAGTTATGCATGGGCCACCTAAATTTACAGTGTAATTCTGAATATTCACTGTAGGCTCACAAAATTAAATATATTTGTATCTTATTTTAACTCAAGATCTAGTGGTTAAGAGATATTTCAAGATTGCTATTATTTTTTGCATTTTATTATTTTAAGTAATAACTATATGCATGCATATATTATAGATAAAGATGGATGCTAGCAGATTTTAAAGTAAGAAAACTTTATTTTCAGAGGTGATTCAGCTTTTGGCCTCTGGTTTTATTACAGTTCATTCACTGACTTAATTCATTTAGAATCCAGACTTGGAGTATTATCAAGTCAATTTACACAAGTGATTTATAGAAGAAAACACTATATCCTCTTTTATCTACCAGGTCAAGTTGTTGATTATTTGCATCAAATATATTCAGTTACTTTTTCTCTGAGCGTTTGCCTTAATCTGTATATTCTCAGGTAGAACTAGTCAGATAAGTCTGAGGATGTAGCTTAGTGGTAGAGTGCTTGTCTCGCATGCAGTAGCCCTGGGTTCAATTCCCAGCACTGAAAAATACATACATAAATAAAGTTGAAAAAAATAAAAATAAGTAAAACACTCTCAGTACCTGTTCCTCAAATTTTTGCTGCCCTGTTTGTTGGGGTGACTGAGTGACTGTTTGTTGAGGTTGTTCCCAGGGTAGGAGCATGTACACTGGATAGTATTGAAGCATCTATTTATAATCACAGAAGCATATAAGAGATTCCATTAGATCATCATATGTCATACTTTTAATCTTCTAATGTCAATATTATTTTAAAGTGGTTTTATGTATAGCAGTTTCATATTATTTTTAGGTATGAATAAAAGAGTGGATAAAGCAGTCTTCCTCGAGATTAAAACTTAGAGCACACATTATATTGGACTTTGTTTGTAAGATTACTTAATAAAACAATTTAGGATATAGCAGATTCAACAAGCTAAAAGAGGCCTTTTTAAAATAAAATACATCTTAAAAACTTCATATATAAATTACTTTGCAAATACCCAAGAGGAGGATAACCTATGCTACATTTTCCTAATATTTTTGAGAATCATCATTATACAGGACATGATATTAGAAATCCTACCATAACGAGTGAAAAAAGACATTTATTCTTTATTAAATTATTAGAAAATGTAACAATTGCCACTTTATTAAAATAATTCACATGCATTCAAAATATTAGAAAAATCCAATAATAGACAAGTAGCAAAATACCCATCACCCACCTTATCATGTATCGGCTTCCACTTATTCTTCTTCATGCATATCATAGTACATGCATAAAGCTTCTATTTTGTTTCTTTGCATCATTAAATAAGTGATTATATTAGACATGAAATTTCAGAACAACAAGCAATGGTTGTTCCAGAGAAGTATATTTTGTGAAGTGGTTCTTAATCCATGTTAAGAATCAAAATCACCTAATTGAGCATTTTGGAAGATAAACATGTTTGTCTTCTAATTGCAGGTTTTGATTTATTAAAGTCTACAATAGGGTTTGGGCATTTGTACTTTTCAGAATTATCACCAGTGATTTTGATGTAAAGTTAGGGTGATGAGCCACAGGTTTAGTGGTTTAAAAAAGGGTGGAGAATTACATTCCAACTCAGCTATTTACTTCATTGGGATTGGAAATTGAATCTCATTAAGATTAACTTTCCTGATCCTTGAAATGAAATAGTTGTACTTGTCACATATTTGACTCTAAGTGCTTCTGGCATAGAATGAGATAATGTCTAGAATTAAGTTCTATTTTGCAATGGGAATAGGGTGAGACAAAGTCACATAATTGTAATTACAGAAGAGCCAAGTAGTATAACTTTTGGTAAAAAGATTAGTCCTCCACTGGTGAATGATATAATTTATCTATAGTCCTGTTTCTTTGAACCCCAGTATTATAAATTATCCTAACACTGATAGAGTTTTCCATATTAATATAATTATTCTATTAGTTTACATTCATTTAAAAAATTTCTCTTATTTAGTGGAACTCATTGATTATAATATTGAGTCAAACTGGAAATACTGCATGTGAGGACTTGGATATGTTTTCAGCAGAATTTAACTGCCAATAATGTAGGAAAGTGTTTCTTATCTCTACATCATACCCTATCTTATCAGTTTAATAGGTGTGTATTTTTATAGCTCTGCTCTAGGAGAACTAGAAATATGAATGCATCTCCTTCTGCAACAACACTTAGAATTGTGCATTCAGCCCCTGGATTTCTTTTTCATTTATTCTTAAATGCCAGAACTTTAGATGCAGAGAGGGCATCCCCTGGGGCTTAGTGAGTTCCTTTATCTCCAATATAGCAATCTCCTGGGAATTCAGGGATCCTAGAGATTCTTTTTAGCTGCCTATTCTTAACTTGCAAAGTGAGCCCATCATCAACAGACTAATGCCAGTTCAATAATGGTTGTATTTAGACAGAATGATACCATGGTGTGAGTGTCTACAACCAGGCTATCAGAGAGCTAAGGAATAAAAGAAAACATAGTGGAGGGTATAAGTAGCCACTTGACTTATTAGTAATGGTATTCTCTTCACTCACCTGTGCTTGTTCTTGAGGCATTTTGAAGGGAAATACATAAGGCATCATCTGCTAAAAAAAAAAAAAAAAAAAGCTGTCTAAAAAAACTAAACTTTGTTATTTAAAAATTTCAAGTTGCTATCTATAGATCTAGCCATATAACTTTTATCATTTGCATTACCAAGTATCTACCAAAAAAGGATGACCTATTGTATTAACTATCATTAACAAAATTTGTCTTTTTAAAATGAAAATTTCCTAATTATCTTCTCTAAAACTTGTGATGCTTTTGATTTCTGGTTATATCCAGAATAGTTGATTTTAACATTATTATTAGCTGATTTTAACATTATTATTATTATTATTATTATTATTATGTGTGTGTGTGTGTTAAAAATCAAAGAATATAAGGAAGAACTTTCAGAATTTTATGAAAAAATTCTTGACTAGGTCTCTTCTGCCTTATTCCAAAGGCTGATTCATTTTCATGGTCACATTCCATGTGCACTTCTCTTTTCTTAGGACAAGAACATTGGCCCAACTTACGTGATTAGGACCCTGCTGGGTCTGTGGCAGTGCCTGAGGCTGTGAGGGGCCCAGCTGGCCTGCTTGAGCTCCTTGGGCAAAACCGACTTGTCTGGGGAAAGATATCTGATTTGGGGATAGTCCAGCAAACTGGTCTAGAGTTGACAGTGAGAGCTGCGGCTGTCCTGGAATTCCAGCCTGCTGCTGCTGTTGTAGAAAGCCAGAGAAGGGGGGGATCCATGAATTAAATGGGCCCTGGGAGCATACCAAAGAAAGAAAGAAAGTCTCTTTTAGATCAAAAGGATTTAAAATCAGTCACGAGCAAGAAAAAAATAAAATCTAAACAATTTCTATATTTTCAGTGCTGCTATACCAAAAAGGACAACATCTTGATTCATGAGCCACAGAAACAGTGTTTCATTTTTAGTGGTCATGAGAAATATGGAGCAGAAAGAGGGAGATAAAAGAGTGCCACTTCTGTACTTGCTAGACTGGTTTCACATCTTGATTTTTCCTCCTTTCTCACTAGTTAGGTGGATATGACTTTGTGTAAAATAGTTAATTTAACTATCCTATAGTAGGATAATTAGTGCCTGGCATATAAGAAGTTCTCAAAAAAAAAAAATAAATAAATGCTAGTTAGATTACAGTTTTTTACTTTAATCTTCAAATAAAATTAGAATATACAGAACTAGCTGGACCCAGTGGTGCACACCTGTAACCTCAGTAACTTGAGGCAGGAGGACAGCAAGTTCAAAGCCAGCCTCAGAAACTTAGTGAGGCCCTGAGTGACTTAGGGAGATCCTGTCTCAAAATTAGAAACAAAAAAGCAAAACAAAACAAAACAAAAAAAACATAAAAAGGGGGCAGAGGGATGTGGCTCAGTGGTTAAGTGCCCCTGGGTTCAATCCCTGGTACAAAACAAAACAAACAAACAGAAAATAATATGTGGAGCAAATTTATAACTTTTAAAATGGAAATTTTGTGGAATCAGAATATGTCATTTTGTTCTCATACAAAATGTCGAGCAGAAGAAAATGTTTTCCTTAAACTGATAATTGAGGTGGAGATACCTGAAGCTGTAGTGGCAAAAACTGACCATTATTCAGATTCAGAAGTAACTAGAAAAGGAAAGAAAATATGAAAAGATTACTATACATGGTAAAATGATTAATAACAATGTTTACTACAAATACAGTACAAGTCAGAGTTGGTTAACCAGTTCCCTGTTAGAAGTGAGATGTTATTTCCACAAAACTTATGTGCTTGAATCACAGCTATTAGAGGTTAGAGTTGAAAATAACAAGTTGGGATTTAGTAACATCATCTCTGCTGTATATGAGATTACACAATTTTATCCCAGTTCAGTGGTTTAAATAGTCATTTTGTATATCAACATACATCTGAATTAACTGCTATTAGAACAAAATATGTAGAGGATATTGTCTCTGCCTTTGAAGAACTCACAATTAAACAAAGGTGGGGGCAAAGCTTATTTTATAAGCAAGTTTCTGTATGTAGCAAACACTAAGTTTGGAATTTATTTGGATATGCTGTTGCTAGTGGATAGGATGTAGGCTAAATCGAAAGAAGACTTTTATCTCTTCCCACTGAGGTTTTATGAAAAAAATGCAGGAGATATTGTTACTGAAACTAACCTCATTGCTATTGCTTGCAGACAAAAGGCGTTGTGGGATAAGCTAAGAATAGAAAAAAAAAAAAAAAGGTAAAATAAGGGATAGCCACAGGTTTACACTCTGAGATCAAGAGTAAAATGAGACACTTACCGGGGCTGAAAATGTAACTCCCAAGAGTCCAAGAAAAATTATAATTTTCATTTTCAGATGATTATACCTAGAAAATGAATTATAATACTTAATTTTAAAAATTCTTTCCTTACAAATCATGACAAAAATAAAGTCATGACAAAATAATTATATAAAATTGTTCAATCAGAGGAACAGTTGTGCACATTCTTCAGTATTACATCTTAGGATTTAAAATATAAAAATAAATATTTATAACAGAACTCTTTCTTCTCTCTCAAATCAACTTCTTATAGAAACCAACATTGTTTGCTTGACCAACAGACTCAGTTGGTGGCATATGATGTAGTTGAATGGGTTAGTGAACAAGACGATCTCGTCCTTTTGCCACTCTACACTGGGGGACTGTGTCTATCAGAACTTGGGATGCCCATGACTGGGGTCAACTAACTGGCCCTTATTAAAAAAATCTTAATATTTACATTGAAAAAGTGCTACAATAAAGATCTGATGATACTAGTCCAAAACAAGATAATTTCCATTTAAAGGCCTATTAATATTGAAGTATATTAAATGTAGCAATTAAGTCAATATTTTTCTAATTTAGGGAAATGGAGTATGAAATTAAAATGTAATATTGATTTATAGTTTACTGTGGAAGTTTATTACCTCTTGTCCTCTGATGTAAAAGCTCCTGACATAGCTCAAATCACTGACCTAACCAAGAGTTCAGGGTGACTTTGGTAATCTCTCAGAGCATAATTCACTGAGTTTGGTTCTGAAAGTTATGAAAGCAAAGATTTCATATCTTACCTTACTCCTGGCTTAAGAAATTAAGAACCATTCAAGATCTGTGTTCTTTTTCTCTCTCAGCTCTGTTGGTTGAAATTTCTCTTAAAATTTAAAACCCATCTTTAGGAAAAAAGAGCCAATCATTTTTAAAAGGAACCAGTGATTCAGTGGGCTTCAGACAATGGCTCAGCTAATCATCTCTTTCCTCATCATCCAGGTGGGGTATGGCTTCCCACACTTTTAGTAATGCTCTTAAATTATCCCCGAGAAATGTTTTCCTGTGATCACACCTGGATTTTCCTTGGTTATGACTAACTCTTTAAGAATGATTTTATTCTACTCCTCTTACCATCTTTAAAATGAGTATCTAATTGAATAACCTGAAGTTCTTTATTAAATTCAATGATAAATGGGTGAATATTTTTATTTTTGGAGTAAAATACAGAATTATAAAACAGAGGTCACAGGTATAAGAAACAAAAATTCCAAAGTGTAGTTTGTGGCACTCAAGATTCTTCACAGTTTCAACACTGGGCTGAGTGAATATAAGCTAGTTTCTTTTAGATTTGATTTTGAAAATACTAGTACATCTCTCTTCCCTTATGGAATAAAGCCATAAACATTTGCTAAATTTCTGTATGTCTATGAAATGTATATCCACACAAGATTGTGTTGCTTTGAATAAATTAAATATGAAGTACTAAAAAATACTGCAAATCAATGTTTTGTATTTTTTAAAAATTCCCTTTGTTAAATATAACTAACATTCAAAATATTACTAAATACTACTACCTGTATAATATCATTTCAATTTTCTTCTTAAAAGTTCATTATTTGTTTGGTTGCTGTTAATATTGATTCCACTCTAACAGGCAGTCCATGATCACAAGTGTTGTGATAATGTATTCTCAGTTTCCATTATGAAAGAGTTATTTAGCTAATTTAATCTTGAACAATTAATAGTAGTCTTAAAATGTAGTAAAAAGTTATTGCCTTTCAATAAATGTGACTTTCTTAGAGACTTAAATTTTGTGGACTCACTCATACTAAAATAATTATACCACTTGTTATTTATCTAGTCAAAAGAAACCTCACAAGCAACCAAAACATTATTTAAAATAACAAGACCTTTTTTCTTTACTAAAAAAGAGAAGTTACCACTAGGATTTTATATCTGTTAGAAAGAAACTTTTCCAAAATTTGTGAAAGTTGTCTTTCTGAATTAAATAGTTAGAACACCCTAGATGTTGATGGCAAATTTAACTAAAGCTTGGTGACATGACAAATTATTGACTGCAAAGTACAGCAGGTTGATTGAGTGGGTGAACTAGGCAGAAGATTTTATATTACTTGATGATGTTAATATTTGCAATAAGTGACCTGGTCTATTTTGAGTATTGTCAGTCTCTTGAGATTTCCTTTTGCATTCTGTAGGGTCTGAGGCAGCTGACCCCATTACTGAGCCAGAAAGTCATCATGGCCAAGAACTGAGCAGGTCGGGACTATGTTCTGGAGCCAAAACACAGTAAATTTAAAAATATCCTGATGAGGAATAGTTTCATTTAGCTACATTCTTCAAACTGAAGGTAACTGGCAGGATTCTGTCACTGTTCTTTTTTGCTTTTATTTTCCATTAAAGAAAAGCAATTAAAACTCTCCATCTATATAACAATGTGGAAAAGAATAGGCTTTATTTCCAAAACTCCCGCGAATGCCACATTTGATAGCTTCCAAGTTCCTGTGTCATTAGAGGCAGGGTTATCTCTGGGTGGTAGGGGACATAGCAAGGAGCTCTGGGTCAATTCTCATCACATTATAATGTGCATATGGTATGTCTCTGTTTCTCTCATTCAACTATGTTGACTTTACTCATTTTTCTTTGCCTGTGTTTGTGACTCACTAGGTATTTCACTGATTTTTGTTAAAAATAAGTGATTAGATTCAGGAGAGGATAAACAAGTGGGACATATCTAGAGTAATGTCATTCTGTGTGGAGTAAGGTGCAGGGTCCAAGATGAGGAAATCCTGAGCCGGATACACTCACCAATACTGCATCATTTTGTTTTAGTTTGATTAGCAGAACTAGACAAACTTTCATTCAAATAAAAGTACAAAGACATATTATAATGCCAAGAACATGTGACTGTTGAATTATGTACCCGTGAAATTATCTGTATCTTTGCTCTGTTCCAATAACAAAAATGACAAAGAGTAAACAGTAATGGCTTATGTTAATCCTTTCAAAATGTTACGTTTGCTTTTTTCCCCTTTATCCTAAAAAAATATTAAAAGGCTTATAGAATACATTGTAAAATAGACCAATATTAGGTGAATCATGATAATTGAATTTAAATTTTAGCACTGCTTATAATAAAAACAATTTTCTTGTATATAAACGGATTCCCAGGAACTTCTGATAACATATATCACCTTATACAGGCAAGATACATATATCACCTCTGTTTCCATGAGAAAACTGAGGTACAGGAGGTTAAATGACTCCATTCATTTATTTATTCATGCAACAAATGGTTATTGTGCCAGCTCATATCTCTGCTAGGCATTGAAAACTTGGTATTAATAATAATATATGTAGTTTCTACCTCCATGGAAATTATTATTTTTCCATAGCCAAAAAAGTACCAGAATTATGGTTAGAATTCAGGTCTCTTGATTCTTAATCAAGTAGTATTTCTAAGGTATTAAGATACATAACTTGAAAGGAAGTGACATAGTATCATGATAAAGAAAATTAAAAACTTAAAAAAAAATGATAAAAATGTTCTTAAATATTGCCAGAGATGAACTGTGAATCTCAACCCAATGAGGTCAATAGGTTTGGGGTCAAGAATTATTTCATTAATAACTTATACAGTAAACCAGAGATTAGATAAGCAAGCTTTCAACCTAAACTCTTCTATTACATGGGTGTTTATGCTTAACTACTGTGAGACTTTACTAAAGTACCCTCATCCGTTTGAGATTGTGAGTACTGGACATTAATTATCACAAGTTCACTAAGATTATACACTCTAGATAAATGTTTCTAGCTTGATTATATTAATCTAGTTTTATTTTACTTAGGATTTTGTAGATATTTGCATGTAAATTATGACTCTCAGGTGTTTTTCTAGGAGTAGCATTTTTAACAATACAGATATTAAGAAAAGTAAAGTATTATGCTTTTTTTTTCCTTTTACAGAAGGACCCATGAGTTTCTGAGGACTTGAGAGAGGCCAGCAATAGCCAAATTGAGTCACAACCCCATATTTCTGCTACAAGGATAACGCAACTCAAACAGATAACTCAAAACAAAACCGAAGCAAAATGGAACAAAAAATCGTTGTATCAATTTTCTCTTCCTCAGGGCTGAACAACTTCAAACCTTGAGCCAACCATTTTTCCCAGTTTGCCTGAAAAAGTTCTAGGGATAGGCAGCTTGAAACAAAAACAAAATAAATCAAAACAAGCACACATTGTTTTTTGAAATGGTCACCCATTCTCTCACTCTCCCTCAGGGGCGAGGAATTTCACTTACCCCCAAGATTCAGGCGTTCCCCATATGGGCCACCAAATGCCGCAGTCTGGCTGGGCACAAAATCACGAGCCACTCAAGCAGGAACAAACTTTATTTCCAAAACTCCTGCGAATGCCACGCACGCGGCCTTCTCCCGGGACACACCACACCAACAGGAAATCCCTCCTCCGGAAATCCCGCCTACCGCACTTCCCCAACCAATGGGAACTCTCCGGGAGTCCCTGGGAGAGCTCCAAAGTAGCAGGCCTAGGCGGACAGCAGGGGTCTAATATCCAATTGAATGCACATCTTAACATAATCATTATCATCTCAATGGCTTGCTGGAGTCACCTTTCAACCAAAAATGCCATGTGTCATTCCTACTCAGCTATGGCTCTTAGCACTGCTGTGGATCCCTTAAGTGTGGCAAGCAGAGCATTTAATGGAAGGCACAGTCTGTTTGGAGTAGCTGTCCTGGCTTGACCATACGTCAATTACAACCTTCTCTGAAAATCACCTCTTTTATCCCCTGGCCTGAAATACTCTCTTTTCCCTACTAAACTTTTGTGGTATTTATTTATTTATTTATTTATCTATTTATTTAGTGAATTTCAGACCTGCCTTGCATGTTTGCTTTTGGGCCTGTGATTAGTTTGCCCTCAATCCTGTTTCTATACTTACAATGTCCAGAAAAACAAAACAAAACTGTAGACAACTTTATTTCAACTAAAATCTTACAGTTCTAGTAAGTCAACTTTTTTAG